ACATTCGATTAAACATTGAAATGTATGCGCTTGGAAAGTTATAACAGATTGATGTTTTTTTTACATACTGATTGCTGATGCAATCCAAACGTACGTGATATTTAATATTTAATATCTCATTAAATTTAAAGTGTGTAACACACACTTGTTTTATTATTTCCCTACGAAAAATTAATTCATACGTTTGCAAAAATTTATTGGTCATTAATGTTTTTTATTGTAGATTTTCATAATAACGTACGCGATTTCAATAATAATTTTTCATCAAATTCTTTTGGTAATAATATATTCATACCTATTATTGAAATATATATAATTGATTATTTTTCTTATTCTTCTTTTTTTTTTTTTTCAAAAACGCAAATCACATTCAATTTAAAAAATTCAATATTATAATATATTATTCGTATTTTCGATCGATATTCCTTTGAATATATTCATTTATTTTAATTAATATTATTCATTATTTTATAATTTTATACGTTATAACGAGTTAACGCAAATAGTACAGATTTTTGGTTCTATTATTATTATTATTATTTATACTCAAAACTCAACGTATTATAAAATATAACTGTAACTTTTTCATGAAATATTTCCTCGTAGCAGAAAAGTTACACGTTGAACGTTAAATTACAAAATAAAAGAAAAGAAAAAAAAACTTAAATTAAGTAGTAATTGCAAGTAATATTAGTCTTTTGATCAGACTTCGCATTTAATTACAATTCCCTTTCTTTCTTACATTTTTTATTTTCATTTTTCATTTTCCTTTTTCATTCTATTTTTGCATGCAGTCAGTAGTATTGTCGGTGCAGAGCTCGTAAGAAGTAATATAAGAACGAGCACGGTGGAGGGTGAAGAAGGGGGGGGAAAGAAGAAGAGGGTGAGGGCTCGTAACTTGGAAGCATCGTTTCTGAGAAAAGTTGCCCCCATTAAATAACGTTTCAACAACCGATAAAATCTTGACGATAATAAACAACATGAGCATTTTGTTTCTTTCTCTCTCTCTCTCTCTCTCTTACTCCTTCTTTTAAAACTTCTTCACTCCCATTCTTCTCAATTTATAAATTCCCAACTATAAAAAAAGTATCATTTCTAATCCAGACTTAAGAATCCTAATTTGTTTTGATAGGATTCAGTTAAATTCGAACTTCAAATTGAATTGAATTGAAAAGTTCGATTCACAAGTTTTTTTGTTAGTTATCAAACGAATTGAAATTTTCAATTATTATATAGGGTGTCTTTAGATTTTCGTAGTAGTACCACCATCTTTCGTGGTTCATGGTATCATCACATTGAAACGTGGCTGAGGTAAAGCCCTACGAATAATCCCTAAGTAAAAGGGATAGACAGACAGACAGGGAGGGGGGTGTAAGGGGGTTGTAAGGGGGGATGGTGAAAAGTTCAGCTCGCAATATTCGCGTTTCATTCATAATTTACTTGCTTCTTGGGGGTTGTTGAAGGTTGAAGAAAGCACGAATGGTCAACTCCTCCTCCGTCCCTTTGTGTCCTGTTTCGTAATACTGAATGAATGGGCTTTTCAAAAGGGTTGGACCCTTTATTATTTTACGAGGACAAACTATCTTCTTCCATCTCTTTCTTCTTTCATATTTTTTCTCTCTTTTTCATCGTTCGATGACGTAAGTGAACGCTCCTGTCCCTTTTCATCAACGTTTCTTTTCCCCTTTTATCATATTTTCGTTTGTATTTGAAGCTTTTTTTTCTTTTTTTAAGGGGGACAGCAGACAGGAGGAGGGTTGAGTGGGTGGGTGTATTTTTCCAAACCAATATATTATTTTTCTTTTATTATTTGACATTGTAAAAAAAACGTGATCGTCGTAATACTTCTCTAACTTTCTTTTTTTTGATAATTTGAATTTAATTAGCCGTCATTCTAGTTTTCAACATAAATCGTGATACCATTCGAGATTTTTTCTTTCTTTTTAAAATAAAAGGAAAAAGAAGAAAGAAGGATGAAACGCGTGCCAAGAGAGAAGTAATCAGGTTTTCCGCTATATTTCATTTAGTGAACGTTGAAACGTTATCTGCATACGGTTACGTGGGCTGGTGGCTGACTATACACTACGTTTTACTACTAGCTTCCTTTCACTCGATTATTAATTTTCTTCACTCGGAGTCACGGCCCATTTGCTTTTTGAATATGTTCCATGATTATTTGCTTCACTCTTTCTTGATCCTTTTTTTTGGTAGTGGTGGGTGTTGGGTGGTGGGTGGGTGAGGAGGTAAGGGGGGGAATATAATATTGAAATTAGAGAAAAATTCGGTAGAGAAAAAAATTAACGAAATAAATGGGGAACAAATAAGAATTGATAAAAATGGGGTTGTGGGGTGGGGGTGGGGGGAGGGTGGTAAATGATGCGACGTAGTAAATGATGGAAAAGAAAAGATAAAAAAAAAAACGGTGGTTGGTTGGTTGTTAACGAACAAAATAAAACTCACACAACAAACGGGTGAATAATGATGGTTCTTTAGTTGATACATATGTAGAAACAAATGCATATAAACGAACGATTGTTCGTCCGTCGTGTTTCGTTCATTTCATGGCTCGAATGACAAAGCAAAATCGTTGCACGATCACCCGGAAATGCAGAGTCTCGTTTTCCCAATAATTTTGTTTTCTCGTTTGCACACGCGTATATACAGATGTATATTATGCGTATGTATGTGGGGGTAACCCAGATAACTTGTTATATATACACGAAATAAGTTTTTATATTATTGATTTATTATTACAAAACTTGTGTTAAACATTTAACTTGGATAGTTTTCAATGGCTACGAATAATATATTTTGTTTTTTTAGTAGCAATCTTTACAAATTTTCAAGGTTGACTTTAAATGGAATTAATTATCGTTTGTTTTAATATTCATGTTTTTTTTGTTTTCTTTTTGAAATTATATAAATAATACAAGTTTATTTGATTAATAATAAATCAGTGGAGAAAAAAAAGAAATAAATTAGACGTGTGCAAATTACATGCAAATATGCAAATGCGTAAATTGTGTTGCATGATGGTATATACGAAATTATAATATCGATGGTTATGATTTTCCTTTTGAGTTTGGGAAATGAAGTAGAATTGGGAGAGTAACCAGATGAATGTATACATATATACACGCATGTCTATGTTCTCTATGTATATGCAAATATGTACTTTATACATATGTGTATGTATATGACAGAGATAGATAGATAGAGAGAGAGAGAGAGAGAATGGAGTTCAGTGTCATTAGCGACAGCAGAGGATACCAAATTCGCTTTCAACAAAATTAGGTAACGTAACCGCATCGTGCTACTAAATACCGAACATGTACCCTTGTTAGGTTTGCAAATTTCGATCTATCGAACCGGACACGACATCATTTTAGACACATCGTTTGTCTCAGAAATTTACACTCCTGGTTTAACGTTTGATAATTCATTGTGTGTGATTTTATTTTAAATATAAGTAATATTATTATTTTAGTTTGTTTAGTTTGTTATTGGGGGATATAATAAAGGTATATATGCATATGATTATAATATGTTTAACAATATATATACATTAATTATTATATAATAATTTAATATATACAATATTGTATAATACTGTATACTATTACTGTATTATATTATATATTGTTATTTTGTTTGATATTATATTTGTAATATATTTTCTATACAATACACCCTGTATACTCTCGTATTACACTATTACAAAAATTACGGTATAATTCCTATTACTCAACAATAAAAAATATACACAATACTTATATAATAATAAATATTTATTATAATAATATAAATGAATATATATACTTACGAATCTATCAAAAATTTGAATTATTTTCAATACGTAGATATAATTTATTTTATATTTTAACAAAAAGAAAAAAAAGGTACACGTCATTTCGGGATTGAACATTTGTAAAAATTTACATGACAAACTAACGATCAATCGAATCGAATCGAATCGAGGAAACAAAAGAAAGGAAAACAAAAGAGGGTGATCAATTGATGACTAAATTAATTGTAAATGGTACGTGTATAGAAAAAAAAAAAAAGAGATGGTAAAATCTGGCAAGGATTCAAAACAAAAAGATTGGTCATGCACGGTTACACACGTGGTTTTACATTCACTCGTGTGTCAAAAATCGTGTTCATGGTCAAACCTTTTCACAGTATCAACCAACCAACCAACCGATCAACAAACTCTCTTAGATTAAGCGAAATCGCAGACATATTGTGACACCACCGAGCGTGAAAATGATTCCGATTTTTTTTGTTGTCTTCTACCAAACAAATTCTAAAACAATGGTTCGGGCTGCTGCTGTTGTTTCTTGTTTGTTCGCGTATTCTTTGCAAATAAAAATCCATTCTTCCTTTTATAAAGAATAATAATAGTAATAGAAGAAGAGTATAATAAAACAAAATCGTTCAACGATAATAAAACGTTGGTCTCGACCGTGTTTTGCAGATTATTTTTTTAAATATTTATTCGTAGATAAAATGTAATCAATGTCAAGTGTATCTTCAAATATTATTCGAATATTTGAAACGTTTGTTATATTGAAATACGTTCTGATTATATTTTAGAATAATTATCAATTTATTTTTTTTTTGTTCTATTTATTCAACACGATTTTTCAAGTACTTGCGATAACCTGAACAAAAAACAACAATGCATTCTCTGACATTTTATGAAGTTACATGCTAAATTTATAACTCGATATTGTATTCTACGCATAGACAAAAGAGTGTACTTTAATTTAATATAAAAATCATTAAAATCCACTTGCTATTAGTATAACAAATTTTTTCGAATTTTTTTTTTATTGCAATGTATAGTCAATTAAAAACAGATCAACTTTGGTTTAAAGTATTCTTTTTTGTCTAATTATCGCAAGTACTTGAAAACTAGAGTTATTCGGGACACTCTGTATAATAATCAAAATTATAAATAATTGTTGATTATATATATATATAATTTTTTGTTTCAGCGATGGTCGTTTGTTAGAGGGTGATCAAATCCTTGCGATAGATGGTCAACCATTGGATTCAAATATTTCACACGAGCAAGCAATTTCGATTCTTCAAAAAGCTCGCGGTTTGGTCGAGTTGGTAGTGGCAAGAAGCAATCAAGGTAAATTATATCATTTTTTTTATATTATCCATAAATTATTATTCTTTATATATTCCTATATATATATTAATATTACACACTTTCATTTCACATTCCATATTCTTATAATTTTATTATCATAGATCATAGAATTCTTTCAAACAAACTTACAATCTCGTTTGATTTTTATTTAAAAAGAAAAAAAAAAGAAAAAAGAACAATCATTCTTGATTCTTATTTTATTTTTCTTTCATCGACAATAATAATTAGTCTCCTATCATCTTCACGTTATTCATAATTACATATTTTTCTACATTATACTTTTAATTAATTAATAAAAATAATTCTAACTCTCTCTCTCTCTCTCTCTCTCTCTCTCTCTCTCTCTTGTAATCCTATTCTTTATCCAATCAGCTTAACCAATAAGACAGTTATCTTTCTATCCTACTGAATACAAGAAGTTCCTGTATCATTTAACTTGACTTTAATTAACTCCCCAGCATATTATGTGGATTAATGCGTATGAAAAGAAAAAAAAAAAGAAACAAAAAACAAAAATGTCCAAATGTCACTTTCTTCCTCCAACCTTTCCCTTCCCTTCCCTTCCATTTTACCCACGTCCGTTGTCCCTTAAGTATCATCCCGTCTGACGAAAAGAATTAGTTCATATAGTCCCTTCGTAGAAAATGGAATCTAGTAGAATGGAATAAAATCAAGGGGTGGTAAAGGAAGGGAAGGGAAGGGAAGGGAAGGGAAGGGGAGTCGATCGGAAGAAGATTGCTTCCGATGACAGAAAAAAAAAAAGAAAATTCTATTTCTATCTAATGGTTTAGCTAGTTGTAAGAAAGTGGAAGTAGATAGTTGGGTAGGAGGTGGGATTGGGGGAGGTGGGTGGTGTGGTGTGGCAGTAAGGTAAAATACATTTCACCCCAGCCTACCCCCTCTTCCTAAATTGGATCGATTCTTTCTTATTAACGAAATGTTTGTTTATAATCATTATTTTGTTCAGACGTTGGGAATTCTTTGCCGACGGATGAATTGTCCGGTGGTTCGAGTTCAACAGCGGCCGCAGGAGGAGCAGCAGCTGTTGGAGGTGCTGCCGTTATCGGTGCTGGTGTTGGTGGTGTTGGTGGTAGTCCATGTCTTTTGGGAAACAACGGAAATAATAATAACAACAACAACAACAACAATAACATTAATAACAATATTAACAACAATAATATCAACAACAACGTCAACAACAATAATCAGATTGGCTCGGACAAAGATCAATCGGTGTCAGTATCGTCAATTGTCACACCAATACCAACACCTAAGTCCAGTCAACCTACTAGTACAACATCTGCAACAACACCTACGCCAACACCTACACCTATACCTACACCTACTTCGACACCTGTACCACCACCTGGTACCGTTCACGGAGGCCTCGTCATCGAAAGGAGCCCTTCCGCTGTCAGCGACGCCTCCAAGAGTGGCCCTGACATGGTGGTAAGGGTTTACATTTTTATTTATTTATTTATTTATTTATTAGGATGAATTTTACAAATATTCGCGCGCGTTTTTTAATTCATTCATATTATATTTACAAAGTGAGTGTTAATTTTTTACTAAAATACAAATGAAACCAATCCGTTATACAGTTTCAAAGGTAAAACGGGGAGGGGGGGCGCCCATTGGAGGATGAAATAACACGAATTTATTTGTTCATCTTAATATTTTTTTTTATCTTTTAATATATTTCCCTAATTATTTTAATACTTAGGGTGTTGTTTTATTCGTGATACATTCTTATTAACTTTCGTCAATATTTTTTAAACGATTATATGGAGTTTTATAGAAATATGTTATTAAGAAAAATTGTTTCCTTGATAAATCATTCGTTATATGAAAAAAAAAAAATGTTATTAATGATAGTTGTAGGTGGTTATAGGATTCATTCTATACATTTTGATCGTAAAACCGATAGTTCTTTAGATAATCGAATCTACTTTGTCAAAGGGACGAGTTGTCGATTTATACCTGGTGTCTATATTTATATATGTGTGTGTGTGTGTACGTGTATGTGTATATGCATCATGCATCGTTATAAACTTTTCTACATTTCTCTTTTTTTATGTTTTTTACCGATAAAACTATACATCACGTTACTGCTGCGAACAAAATGTTATTAAGCAAAAGTTCCAACTCTCTATCTTTAGGACGAGTATTTTTTTTCATTTTTTATTTTGTTTTTTATCCTATGTGTAACACATTTTTATCGTAAAATCGATAATTCTTTAGATAATCGACGAGAGAGTATATTTTGTCAAAAGTTACGTGTATGGTATTATCATCGTTTTAAACTTTTCTCTACAAAAAAAAATTATCTATTTGTTCTATGAAAAAAAAAAGAAATTGGTAAAAAGTTTGAAATATTCTTTTTTTTTTTTTCGTTTTTTTTTCTCTCTCTCTCTCTCTCTCTCTCTCTCTTATTCTATTTTAAACACGATATCTGTTAATACTTGAATCGCGCTATAAAATTCGAATTTCTTTTTCCTTATAGAAATAAGTATAGAAAAAGTAGAAAAAAAAATAAAAAAAAAAAAAAATGTGCACCCTTAACGATACTTTTTTTTTCTTCCTTCCCTTAGCCTATTATTACCTCTTTTCTATCTCTCTTTCTTTTTTTTTTCTTTTTTCTTTATATCAATAACATTTTTCCTTTTCCACCCCCCTCATTTTTTTTTACTTCACGATCCTTTCATCCAAGCTTCTGTACGACTTTTTTTTTTCTTAACTCTCCTTATCCCATACCTCCCTATTCTTCTTCTTCTTCTTCTTCCCTTTTTCCCCTACCTTCCTCCCCCATTCCCTTTTACACGCACAACTTTTCTGGTTACTATCCGAAATTATTACTTCACATTCACGCTAAATTTATCTTCAACCCTGTTAACGTTATTTTCTCTTTGGGAATCTTTCTTTTTCTTTTTTTGTCTTCTTCCCGTTCTCATTTCATACTTTTTTTTTTTTTTTTAACCATAAAGTATAAAGTTACGTGTAAGATTTTTCGAACGATCTCGCGAAATTATCATTTTTTTTTTTTTTGTATTCTCCCAGCCAAGTTCAAAATTGTTAATTAACTTATCACGTCGAATAAATCCAATCTTCGTTCGTTTTTTTTTACTTAAACCAACGTTGAAAATGAAGGTAAATTACTCCAGTGACTTTGTTAATCGTTATTTTAATTACTACTACCCTTAGTCCACCTGACACTTTGATATTGCTTGCCTGTCAAAAAATATATAATCAGGAAAAAAAAAGAAATATAAAATATAAAAATAGAGGGGTTTATAATATCGAAATAAACCCTTATTTTTTTTTCTTTTTTTTTTCTTTTTTTTTTTGTAAATGAATCTTCGATCTCCAGATTGATCCTGTTAATTAAATTTTATTTTATCGTATTGAAAAATATATTTAAAAATACTAATAGTTATTATTATTATTACTAATATTATTATTATTATCGTATATATCAATATATCAAATAACGTTCGTTAAAACAAATCAATTTTATTTTTCTTATCTTCTTTTTTTCATATCCTTCAATTTCGAGACTGCGCAATCATCATCCCCCCATTTCTTCCCATCCTTTTTTTCTCGCAATTTTTCTTTTTTCTTTTTTCTTCCCCATCTTCCCTCTTCCCTCGTCATTCGCGTTAAGTTTTCTCGAAGTACCATAACGAGTAAGGAAATCGTATTATCGGAAACGCTGAATGATGATGATGAAGAAGAAACGATTTGCGTCCGCGATAAAAAAAAAAAAAAGAATTGCAAACGTTGAAGAACTAGTCAAATTTTATTTTATTTTTTATATTATTATTATTAGTATTTCATTAAAACGTCAAATCGTTATATATATATAAAAAAAAAAGAATAACCCTTACCGAAAAAATGATCTTGTTATTATTATTTCTTTTACTCGAGTGATTCATTTTTTATTATTATTATTATTATTATTATTAATATTTCATTAAAATGTCAAATCGATATATATAAATAAATATTTAACCCTTACCGAAAAAATGATCTTGTTATTATTATTTCTTCTTTTACTCGAGTGATTCATTTTTTCTTATTATTATTATTATTGATTTTTCATTAAAATGTCAAATCGTTATATATAAAAAAAAATTTAACCCTTACCGAAAAAATGATCTTGTTATTATTATCGTTGTCGTTTTCGTTCCTTTTTATTTTTAATCTTTTAATTTGTCATGTTTCTTTTTTCTTTTTTTTTTTTTGATTTAGCTGAACACGGAATGGGCACAAGTAGAAGTGATAAACCTAATCAATGATGGCAGCGGTCTTGGATTTGGGATTATCGGAGGCCGTAGCACAGGCGTCGTCGTCAAGACCATTCTTCCTGGAGGCGTTGCCGATCGGGTAAGTATCCAATCGAAAGGAACCTCCTCCTCCTCACTACCACCACATCATCCTTCTCATATTCTTCATCATCTTTCACCCCCCATCCTCTTCTTTATCCACCTAACTCATCTTCTCATACTCTTCTTCATCGTCTACCTCATCTTCTTCTTCTTCTTCTTCAACTACTATCTTCACACACACACACATATATATATACAGAGCTTCCTTTTGGTGATTCAACTCGTACTAATTGCGAAAGGATATTTACTTTCTGACGATTTTCATGATGCAAGGATTCCGTTAAAATGTGAAGCCATTAACGAGTTAAACGATTATCTTCACCGTTTATCAGACTTAATAGAATCCTACTTGCCCTATACTAGAAACTATTATATATATGTATCATTCAGAACACCCTCTTCTTCCCTACACACACACACACACACCTTTTGTATATTATACGTGTGTGTATATATCATAGATCTATATAGATTGATAGTGGATAGACTTCAAAGAGAAATAATTCGTTAGGGTAATTAACTTTAGGCTTTAATTAAACGTGTCTACTACTTACTATTCTTTATCCAGTAAGCCATAATTATTCATGTTCATTTACATGAACACATTAGATCACTCGTTTCGTTAGATACAAATTTATCCATTTTAATTGAACCAAAAAAAAAATGTGAGGAAAATTTTAAATTGATAATTAGGTTAATTAGATAAATATTGTTACTATGTTTTTATATGTAAAACAAATTGTTTTTAGATTTTTATTTTGTAATTGTACAATAATAATAATAATAATATTAGTATCTATTTAATAAAATTTAATCTATTTAAGTCTAGATTGAGAAACAGTTTTGTTGAGGGTTTCAAATTATAACGAGCTAATACTTAACGAAGTTTAGATGTTTTGTGTTTTGAATATTAATAAAAAGAAAAATGTATGTCTACCCAATGAAAAAAGACGCTGAACTGTAAAAATTAAGTTACTGAAGAAGTCCCAATAAAGGGATGAAATGTCCAACTTAGTTAAATTAAGTTCTACTTCTTTTTTATATCCAAGTTCCCTGTGATATCTTATCATTAGTATCTATATTTTAATTTAACATTTATTTATGGAATGGGGGGTGGGGTTATATATATATATATATATTTTACATATTAATGAATTATTATAAACTAGATTGGATTTTTAGGTTTACATACAAATGTAGAATAATCATTTCTAAACTTTGATTTATCAGAATGAACACATTTATTAATTATATACACAAATATTAATAACAATAAGCGTTCTAGCAATTTTTCAATTGTGATTTATCGATACGTGCAAAAAGCGTAGAAACGTGTTAAATAATGAACTTTCGTAACAGTATATTCTGATTTATCAGGATAATCGGCTCCAAAGCGGGGACCACATACTCCAAATCGGGGATGTCAATTTACGAGGAATGGGAAGCGAACAGGTTGCAGCTGTTTTACGACAATCAGGAACACACGTGCGTCTCGTTGTCGCAAGACCAGTTGAACCAACATCACCAGATTTCCAGGTATAATATCAATTTATAAATACAATAAACATTTGATCGTAGAAAATGTATAATAAATGAATTGTTGATTGATATCATTATGATTTTAGGCCATCGGAAGTCATGCACCAATCGTCCCAACGAAAAACCTTGGTGACCCAGACGAATTGGAGAGATACCTGGTCCACAGTGTACCCGAGACCTACAACATACGACACGTACAGCAAGGGGGTGGTGATGCCAGTTACGACAACGGGTATATGTATTCGCAGGAGTCCGACGTGAGTGCGACGAAACGTGTTGATCAGCTTCTACTAATGTGCGCTACTACGATCGATGCTGCTATGAATTATTAAAAAGCACACACACATACATTAAAAAAAAAAAATAAATAAATAAAAAAGTGAAATGTAGTCCGAAAAGAAAAGAAAAGAAAAGAAAAGAAAAAAAAACAAAACACACAAACACACACGAGCATATAATACACAAAAAAAAACAAACAAACATAAACATATATATTAGCATACGTACATAATTCCTTCGCAAATAAACGGGGATATTTAAAAAGAACCGCGGGAATAGTTTCGTGATATTAAAACGGGGATTATTAGAATGTAAATGGCGAAATGTGTCCCTTCTTCTCAAGGCAAGAACCAGTCTCATCATGGATGTGGTACCCAGACGCAACCCCGTACCAATTGGAGCGATGCCAGTTATACCGACGGTACCGGTACAAATTCCGGAACTACCGGTCCTCAGCATGGAGGCCATCGATGTTAATTCACTGCCAGAAATGGAGCGTTTCACCGTCGAGCTTAAGAAGGATATTTACGGGCTTGGGATCACTATAGCCGGCTACGTTTGCGAGAAGGGTGAGAGATGCAGTGCTGTTAACAAAACACAACAAAACAATATACTATTAATAAACAAACAAACAAAGAAAATATTTTAAATAAAAACAAAAACGCGCACGACGTTAAAACTTTTAAAACAAAACAACAAGAATAAAAACAAAACAAAAAAATAAAAAAAGGTAGAGTTATAGTGAAGATCATCACAGAGGGACGGTTGGTTAATGATTTTTCAGAGGAACTTTCGGGCATCTTTGTCAAGAGCATAAGCGAGGGTAGCGCGGCAGACTTAAGTAATAAGATACAAATAAACGATAGGATAGTCGAGGTGGATGGTCATTCTCTACAGGGTTATTCGAATCACGAGGCTGTTGAAGTTCTTCGAAGTACCGGGCAGACCGTTGTACTCTGCTTGGAAAGATATTTACGTGGACCAAAGTACGAACAACTTCAACAAGCGATTGCTGCTAGCGAACTGAGATTACCCCAACCAAGTTCTCCGTCTATTACGAGCCTACCAAGTTTTCCAATAAGTGCAGTAAGATATTTCACGTTACATTGTTGTATCGTTTATTTTCGTACAATATTATAAGAGTATCATACTTTTCGAGACAATATTAATCGTATTTTTATTGTTGATTTTATTTTTAGGATGGCGAGACTACTACCGAGATAGAACAAGAAGGTGAATCGCATACGACCGTTGATAGTGCTATACTTCAAGAAGCAGATCGTGAAAGTGTTACGGACGAGTTCGATGTAGCTACAAACGTTGAAGCTCTTTTAAGCGATCCTTCCACCGAGTTAACTCCGCAAATCCGTGCCGCCATTAAATCCAAATGGCAAAAGATTGTAGGACCTGATACTGAGATAGTGGTACGCATTATTCCATCTGTTATATTATAAAGAAAAAAAATCCTTGTAATTTGCTATTATTGTTATTGATAATAACGTGATAATATTGTTTACTACGAGTAGGTAGCACAATTGAAGAAATTTGCAGAAGGTAGTGGTCTTGGTATTAGTTTGGAAGGTACAGTGGACGTTGAGAATGGTCAAGAAGTGAGGCCTCATCATTACATTCGTTCGATTTTACCTGAAGGTCCTGTCGGTCAAAACGGTACCTTACGATCAGGGGATGAATTGTTGGAGGTAAGATATATTTCATTATCGTTCATTATAGATGTCACAAACTCGACGCCCCACGAGGATTGCAAATTCGAATCTTTGGATATTTTACAATTAATTTTAATGTCGAAAGTTGGATTCTATTAAGACTTTAGAAATGTTTCAATAATAAAATATGTGGTGCAATGAGTTGATTATATTTATTATATATCAATGATTAACAAAGTTAATTAATGTCGGTAATAAAATGATTTCTTAAGGTAAATGGTTACCGTTTGCTCGGTATAAATCACATGGAAGTAGTTAGCGTTTTAAAAGAATTGCCTATACACGTTCGTATGGTTTGCGGAAGAAATGTGGCCTCCCAGGATCCATTGTGTCCTATTGACACTGCTCAACATCAAGCAGCTTTTCAGACCAGAGTAAGTTGAATCGATGTTCTTCGATTTTTACTTTAATTTGTTTTTTCTTTTATTCTTTGATAATAATAATAATAATAATAATAATAATAAAACGAATCAACACAATAACACAGAGTATTCTCGGTGGATCCCTTCAAAATCTCCTACCAACAATGGATCGACTGGTAAAGGCGAAATCTGATGGATCCTTGGCTTCAACTACAACAACCGCAACCGTGACTGACGCTAGCTTGAACAAAATGAAGTCACGATCTTTGGAGCCATTGACAGGCTTAGCTATGTGGAGTTCAGAGGCGCAAATCATCGAGCTGGTTAAAGGAGAGAGGGGCCTTGGGTTCTCCATTTTGGATTATCAGGTATTTCAGTATATATATGTTACCGTCAAAGCCAGAAATCAGTCATTGCTAGTAATTCCTCGGCATTACTATGAATGCAAAGAGCTTTCAACCGAAATCGGAAATTAAAAAATTCTTCCAATTTGTCCTAGGAATCGAACATATTACTTTGATATTCTATAGAATATCAAATTACTATTTAAACAACGTTTATTTTGCAATTGTTGAAATTCAATAAAATTACTTAAATATGCAAGTGAAATATTAATTTACAAATGCACGAACTTGTTGCTGGTTCACCCTAATATTAAATTATATAATATATATAATCAATATTTGATTTTGTATAATTTGTATAGGATCCAATGAACCCCAACGAAACTGTGATAGTAATAAGATCACTCGTTCCTGGTGGTGTGGCTCAAGTCGATGGTAAACTTATACCGGGTGATCGTCTCCTGTTCGTGAACGATATCGGTTTACAAAATGCTACTCTCGACCAAGCTGTGCAGGCTCTTAAAGGTGCACCCAAAGGAACCGTACGCATCGGAGTGGCCAAGCCGTTACCAATACCAGATAGTATCGTACAGGTGAGCGATCAGGATGATCCGGTTGAGACCACGGCGGATAGAGATAACGAGGAACCTACGCACTCGATCATGGATAGCCATAAGCAGAGGCGAGAATATTTTCGAGAGCGTAAAGTGAATGTGATCGAACCACCTCATCACATGGATTTGATAGACGGTCTTAAACATCTTCATAATCTCGTCAAATCTGAAAGCTTTTGAAAATCGAATCGACGTTACGAATCAAATCCTAATTTTGATGCTAATATTATTGGTGTTCTATTTTATTTTTATTTTATTTTACTTTTATTTTATCTCTTTCTATATATATATGATGATATATATACATATATATACGTGAGCTGTTTCACAGGCCCAATAAGATTAACTCCGCTATTAGAATTTGTTTAGAAATATCGAGATACTTAACTTTTTATATTTACAATAAACTTACTTTTCATATTATTATTATTATTATTATTACGCTTGAGAATATATATATATATTAAACGAGACAGCAATCATTTTGATGATACGTTGAATGATAAATTATCGATTTTCTTCTTTACCTTTTGTTTCATTGAATTAATCAATTTGGGAAATGAACGGCTCATGTATATTAAATTTCGTTTTTTCGTTCTTCGCGTGTCTTCGAGACCGATGATGACATTAATGTTCTGTCATTATCTACTTTTTTGTATCATCATCGACATTTCGAATTTATTAAAACCGCGTTGTTGTGTGTGTGTGCACCTTTTGCACATAATTAAGCTCGGATTTATTTTGTATGTTTTTATATATTGGGCAAAAAAAAAAGAAACAATAATATCATATGATCAACGAAACCAATTTGAATCTGTTCCGATCGGACAGTATCTTTTATCACTTTTTACAAAGTTTTTATTAATATTATTGTAAGAAGAAGATAGAGAAACGGAAAGTTTATGCCTAATCTAATTGTAGTTTGTTTTTTAACATTGTGCAATAGCTATCGTTGCATCTTTTTTGTTGCAACGTTGCAGCCTTGCGGAAAATGAATCCAAGTATATATAACATCAACTCGACGTGGTGGCTTTACGATATATAAACTGGATAATATATTTATATCCTTTTCCTATCCATTATTACATTTGATTTTTTCTCATCATTCTTTGTTTATATTTTTTTTCATTTGTTTTCTTCTGTTTTTTTTACAACCCCCCGTTCCACATTTTATTAAACGCATGCGTTCCTTTTTTATGTTCAGCTTATGTGTTCTTTTGATCATGTTCGATTATAAATTTAGATGTTAGATAGTATATTTTTGTTTTACTTTAAGATTCTTTCATGCGTTAATTACAAATTAACTGTATACACATACACACACACCTACACACACTCATATATATATATATATGTGTGTGAAAAAAGAAATGAGAAAGAACAATTAATTTAACAAATTTTGTTGAACGAATGTTTAAACGATAAATAATTTTGTTAGAACAGCAAACCTTTTCCTACACGTTTGCATCATACATGGGTATTTGTTTTCTTTTTCCATATTAAACATTATTACAGCGTGTGTGTCTATGCGAAAGTAATAACGAGGAAGAAAATTTAAAGAGAGATAAAAGAAAAATAACGTGTAAATCAAATACACAGCATAAATAAATATAGGGTGCTGCCGTGCTCATTCATTTTTTTTCTTTTTTTAATCCGATTTCCATTAATCCTTACCACGTAATCGCCAATAATATAATAACTTTTCGAAATTAAGTTTAATATGTTTAAGTCAACATTATTTTTATATATACTTCTTTGCTTTATCTTTTAATTTTTTTCTTTCGTTTTCTATTTGAATTTGATTATCTTTATTTCTTTTTTTTTTTGTTTTTCCTTTCCCAATTTTCTTCACTCCTTTCAACGAAAAAGAAGAAGAAGAGACCACACGGAAAGTTCTCAAATATTTGACCAAGTCGATTACGACAAAGTAAACTTTGATTTTACTTGGGAGTGGGGAGGGGGAAAAAAAGAAAAACTTTTTTAACTCTTTGTAAATCTAATTATTTTTCTTATGCAATTATTTTTTTTTTTTTAACGAAAAAAAATAAAAGTAATACAAATATTCTATTAAATTTTTTTACAATTTTAAAAATATAACTTTATAAAGAGTTAAAAAAAAGGAAAGAAAAAAAAACACACACACACACAAGAATAAATAAACTTACGAATATATTTTATATTTTCAAGAGAGAGATTAGAATTTATAATATACGCGCAATCATACGAAAACTAATTTATATTACCGGACACGTTCTCTCGTTTTTTTCTCTTACGAGAGCCAGAGATGACCGGATTTTAAATGAGGTTTTCCTTTCGTACTTTTTTCTTGTTGTTTTTCATTTTTTTTTTTTTCTTTTTTTCTTTAAAACCATAAATACGCTTTTATAATCGTAAGAAACGAAGATAATAGATAAGAAACGTATCGTGAATAATATATTGATAATTTTTGAATATATATATATTATATATATATATATAAAAAAATGTAATGAAAGAAAATGAGAAAATGAAAGGGAGGAAAAAAAAGGAGAGCCGGGAGAGGAGGAGGAGGAGGAGGAAGAGGAAGAGGTTGTGGAGGAGGAGGAGGAGGAGGAGGAAGGCAAAAAAGAAAAAGAAAAAGAAATGGAAAAACGAAAAAGAAAAGAAAAGAAAAAAAAATAACATATAAACAGAAATTAAGGAGAAAGAAAATGAAATGAATGATTGATTCGTTCTCGGGATGATGCGGATTGATCACGTGATCAAATATCGGTGCTACTTTTACAGCCTAACGATGGGTTTTTTAAAATGTCGTGCTGCAGCAGCTCCCTTTAAGTAAGTACATTAATAAAACGATTGTAATAGTGAATGAAAGTTGCCTGGTAGAGAGTAGCTGATTCGAAATAATAATAATAATAAGACTATAATATTTTAAATAATGATAAATAATATCAACGTTTTTTTTTATTTTCTTTCGATAACATCTATCTCTCTGAGACGTCTCATCCCTCCCCCCTTAAAAAAAAAAAAAAAACGAAAAAAAGAACTCTAGGTTTAGAAAAAACACAACAAAGAAAAGTACAAGAGAAATACATACCAAGTATGGTCAGGCTCTACATTTTATTCCTTTTTTTTTTTCCATGACACACACACACATACACACACAAGCTTATTTTTTAGTCTTTTCTTCTTTTTTTTTTTTTTTTTAATTTGTAAACCTTTTTTTCTAATAAATAACTAATCAATCTCAGATTAATGATTAGATGCACTGAAAGTGAGAGTGATTGGGAAAAAAATCAATGTGTGAATTGGAAAAAGGAAGACAGACAGACAGACACAAACAAATACAAAAAGAAAGAAAGAGAGAGAGAGAATGCATCTACTATTCCAGTTAGAAAAAGACAGCAAGTATTATGTGATTTAAAATGAATGAATGAATGAATGAGTGAATAAATGAAAAAGAAAAAAATAAGCAAGCATGCGAGTGAGAGAGAGGGTGAGAGGGTGGGAGGGATGAAAAAAGAGAGTACGAGGCAAGTAAAAAAAAACAAAAAAAGAAACAAATCCTTTACCACCATCCATTTTTAGTTTTCTATCAAAAAGGAAATAATGTTTACAACCTAAAACACATCCAACATCCCTTCCACCATCCTAACCACCACTACACCCACCCCCACCCTCAGCACAGCCTAATCCTTTTTCTTCTTCGTTTAATTTTGTTCTTTCTCTCTCTCGTCGTAAGTTGCTCTCAATCACAGCTCGTATGTCAATCTTTTCACCTTTTTGTAGAGTTCTACTACCATACCACTACTGTCTACTACTACTACTACTACTTCTACTTCTTCTACTTCTTCTACTACTTCTACTACTACTACTACTACTCACTGGCACTTTTCTTCACTATTATCAAGAGGCTCGTGGGACCGACAATACTATTTCCTTCCTATTATTAATATACCAACGTTTATAAACCTGAACACAACTCCATTGACTGACTACCACCAACACCAATCACCACCAATCACCAAGCACCCTGATTACAGTTGAAAATTTCTACTACATACGTGCACCAAAAGAAAAAGAAATAGAGAAAAAAAAAAAGAAATGAAAAAAGAAACTAAGAGAAAAAAAAAACAAAAAAAAGAAGGGGGCTACACGTGTAAACTTCATCCAATGGCAAACACACCCCCAACCCGTCGCCCCACTGTAATGGATAAAACATACTAAACGCAAGTTACGTAACTAATATCGATTCTCCAAAGGCTTCCTTTTTTTTATCTTCTTCATCGCTTTAATTCTATTCTCGATAGCTATTCACATACTTTTTTACACACGTGTATTAATTATTATTATTATTATTATTATTATTATTATTATTATTATTATTATTATTATTATTATTATTATTATTACGACGTATGATAGTACGGAATACGAAAAAAGAATAATATACGATTCCAATTTAGAGTCTCTCTCTCTCTCTCTCTCTCTCTCTTTCTCTCTCTCTCTTTCTCTCTCTGTCTCTCTTTTTTTTTTTTTCTTTTTCTTACCTCCGCTGAAATCTCGAAGACACGCGCGGGAATTTGTCGATATTGGTTGTTGTTTTTTTTTCTTTT